TTGAAGTTATTTTGTTATTTAAAGGTTGGGTAATTTAAAAAAAATGTTACATTTTATATGCAACTTATATTTGTATTCTATTTGCGCCATTTGTTTATATCTAATTGACTTTCTTCAAATTCTATCAACTTCTCTTTACATCAATATCCTCTATAATTATGGCGGTATATAAAATTGAGCGGAATAATAATATTAATTAAAAACTCGGATTAAATTATTAATTTAAATTTTAAAAATACTTATCAAATTAAATTTTTAGATGCTATTATATTAAATTTTTAAAGCTATTAAAATAAATTAACTAACATAAGTATTTTTATGATTAAAATTACAGTTATGTTTTAAAAAAATTGTATCTTAGATACAAGATCTTTTCCAAAAATTTATAGATGCAAATATTCATGAAACTGCTCAACTCTAATAATGGTAGTTTTAACCTCGTCTTTTTTAATAATGTATCCCCTAACCATATCAGTTTAACCCTACCTCTTACTCCGTTTCCCAAATTACAAGTAAGTTAAAAAAAATTGCCTAAAGCCAAGAAAAACGTAATTGTTATTTCTTTACTTATGCCTGGTCTTAGCTTATAAATTAGTTACGAAATTAGTCTACTACTAATTTTGACATAAATATTATTGAACGCAATGTCCAAGTTGCATAGCTAAAAGTTATAACTAATTTCCGTAAATAAAATTTCGGAACCATGTTTTTCGTACATTAATTTAATGAATACAATTGAGTTTAACAATATATTTATAATGGGGCCCAAAAAAAAGCACATAATAGGATAAAATATATGATAGTGGTTATCCTCTTCGACTTAATTTTTATTCTTCTAAAATAAGGCCAATTGAAAATTTTTAGATAATTCCATCAAAAAGCAATTAATTTGTTAAATTAATGTTATAGATGCTTCCAACCAATTAATCCGTTCAGTAAATTCATAACTTATTTAGTGAAACTCGGACGGAGTATGAGTAAATTATTTTTTTAATTATCAAATCCTATTTTTAAATTTATTAAAATTTGATTTTTTAATGATCCAAAAAATAATAATAATCAACAATTTGTTATTGAATACTGGTATTCTATTATTTATATCTGACTAAATATACTCATCGAAAAATGCAAAATATTTTGATTATTCTCGTTAAGACGGCTTAAATAATTTTACAAAAGAGCGTTTCATGTGTCATAAATATTGAAAAAAAATATAAATAAATTTGTTAATCTTCGAAAAATGATTTAGAACACTATTTTATTTTTACGTTTAAAAATAGGTTACGTTATTTTTTTCTTCTTCCAAATTGATAAATTTATATTTTTTATACATTTAGGACACAAGTCTAATAAAAATTAAATTGAAACAAAATAATAAATAAATAATATTTAAACCTACATAATAAGCGAATATAGAATAAATGATTTCCAATATGTGCAAATTGAATGAATGATGATCATCGCTCATCGCCATGTAAATTAGTAAAGTGTAAAATTTTGATTTTTCGATGGCCCTAAATAAAATTAAAAATTATTAATAATTTTTAATTGAGAAGAAGGAGGGGAAGGAATTCTCGAGTCTTTGGTTTATATTTTCTAACTATTACACCTTACCCAAATAATTCTGGTTCTCGTAAAATCTATTTCTTTTCGGATCAAATCCCAGCACGAATCCGTTGGTTAAAGAAAAATCTCGGGTCAAAGCTCGGCCCGTCTCGAATTCCATAATATAAATTAAAATTAGGAAATAAATCTCTACCCCAAAAAATACTCTACGTCAAATTATGAGAGAAGGGGGCAAAACCAACCCCCGGTCCTCAAGACCACCTCTAGATTATTATAAAATATAAAGTTATTCAATTATAAAATGGATACTCACTATGAATTTTTTACTGCAACCGCCCCTTATGATTTCAATGATGCAAATGCATCGCCACCCCCCCCCCCCCACCGTGTTAGAGGAACTTGAGAGGTTTACTAATTTTATATAGGAAAAAATATAATTATTTCTTTTCGAGGTCACATTAATATTTTTATTGACAGGATCGGGCCAGCCTTGGTGGAACTCGTAATGTAGTGTTGTTAATCGACTAAATTTAGTCGACTAACAGACGACTAACTAATAGTTTTAGTCGACAAACATTCGACTAACTAATAGCTTTAGTCGACTAAAAACGACTAATTTAATCGACTAAAAACAACTAATTAGTCGACTAAAACCTAATTAGTCGACTAAAAACGACTAATCAGAAGATAAAAAAATAGAAGTAAAGTGAGAATTTGTCATTAAAATAACTATATGAGTCATATATAAGTTATTTTTAATATTTTTTTAATTTCTTTTTCTTTGAAGGAACAGGTTAAAATTATAAATTGTAAACAAAATTTCAGTGAAAAGTGAAAATTGTCATAATTGTTATTTTTAAACTTTTTTAAAATTATTTTAAAGCAAGGTATAAATATATATTGTAAACATGTTAAATCAAAATTTCAGTGAAGATGTACCATAGAAAAGTGACAATTGTCATAATCGTCATTTTAAAAGTTTTTGAATTTTTTTAACACTAAACATGTTAAAATAAAATTTAGGCGAAGATGTACCATAGGAAAGTGACAATTGTCATAATCGTCATTTTTAAGTTTTTTTGAAACTTTTTGAAGCAAATTGGTAAAAATATATATTGTAAACATGTTAAATTAAAATTTCAGTGAAGATGTACCATAGAAAAGTGACAATTGTCATAATCGTCATTTTTGAAATTTTTTAAAGCAAATGGGTAGAAATATATATTATAACAGGTTATATTAAAATTTCAATGAAGATGTACCATAGAAAAGTAACAATTGTCAAAATCGTCATTCTTAAGTTTTTTTGAAATTTTTTGAATCAAATTGGTAAAAATATTTATTGTAAAGATGGTATATTAAAATTTCAGTGAAGATGTACCATAGAAAAGTGACAATTGCCATAATCGTCATTTTTAAGTTTTTTTGAAAATTTTTAAAGCAAATTGGTAAAAATATATATTGTAAACATGTTATATTAAAATTTCAGTGAAGATGTACTAAATAAAAGTGACAATTGTCATAATCGTCATTTTTAAGCTTTTTTAAAATTTTTTGAAACAAATTGGTAAAAATATATATTGTAAACATGTTAAATTAAAATTTTAGTGAAGATGTACCATAGAAAAGTGACAATTGTCATAATCATCATTTTTAAGTATTTTTGAAATTTTTTGAAGCAAATTGGTAAAAATATATATTGTAAACATGTTAAATTAAAATTTCAGTGAAGATGTACCGTAGAAAAGTGACAATTGTCATAATCGTCATTTTTAAGTTTTTTTGAAGCAAATGGTTAAAAATATATATTTTAAACATGTTATATTAAAATTTCAATGAAGACCGTAGAAAAGTGACAATCGTCATAATCGTCATTCTTAAGTTTTTTTTAAAAATTTTTTGAAGTTAATGGGTAAAAATATAAATTGTAAACATGTTATATTGAAATTTCAGTGAAGATGTACCATAGATAAGTGACAATTGTCATAATTGTTATTTTTGAACTTTTTTTAAAACAAATAGGTAAAAATATTTATAGTATATATATGTTAAATAAAATTTTCATACAATTGAAAAGTGACAATTGTCATAATAATTATTTTTTTTAACTTTTTTGAAGTAACAAACAGAGTAAAATAAATTGTAAACATGTTAATTTAAAATTTAAATGAGAATGTGCCATATGACAATTATGGCTCGTTAATTTTAAGATCTAATTAGAATAATTGCTGAAACGAGCTGGGTTTTAGCCTACACCCTTCCATCTAATTTTAAAAATGCTAACGGACCGATTTAAAAATTTAAACTCTTATTAGTTATTTAAAATTTATTAGGTAAACATTAAAAAATATATGCTTCATTTTTAACAATTTTAATACTAAAGTACCGATTACTGTTTTAGATATTATTGTTGAGAGAAGGTAATTAGATTAAAAATACTTTTTGGATTTTTTTGTGTAACTAACATCGACGTGGATAAAAATTTAATTTTATCCTTTTTCCCAAAAGCAAAGAAAATTCAATTATAAATGATATTTTTGAAATAGATAGCATCCACGTCAAGATTATATCACAAAAGAAGGGTGTAAATTACAATTTATTTAAGGAATCAATATGATAAATATTTTTTTAATTATCAATTGATTTTTTTAAAACTTATAAATGTTTAAAATAAGTAAAACATCTTTGAAAACTTAAAAAATAAATTATACAAAAATATCTTTTTCAATATTGATATTGAATGAGGTTCAAAATCAAAACTAGATAGTGATTATGATCGATCATCTGATTTATCTGATGATCGCAACTGCTAATTCATTTTTTTGTTTTTAATCCGATATCTGGTTCCATGTGAGAATTGATATCTATGACTTAATTCAATAAATAACCATACCATACCTTAATTTTACAAAAATGATTACTTTTTCAATTATTATGTTTTTAAAATCTAGATTGCAATGTAATATTTTTTTTTAAAAAAAAAATTTATAAAAAATAGTATATTCTGAAATTTCCATATATTTTCCTTTATTTTTATAAATTGTTTTGTTTATTTGTTTACCTAAATTTAATAATTCATCACATTTTGAGATTTTATTTCTTATTTTAAATAATTTTAGCGCCTATCTGGCACCATTAATTTTTTGTATATTTTGAATATTAATTCAATATTATTAAATAACCAATATCTCCCCCGACTCATTCTCTCCCATATTATTATTTTCAATTTTTTTTTCAATTTTTTTTTACTTTATCAATATTAATTTCACAATATAAGGGTAGGTGAGGTTAATAGTGAGGAGAGGTCTGAGGAGAGTACACTATTTATATAACAAAACATTTAAATTTTAAAGGAGATTGATTTATATAATTTAGAAAGGATTCATGCTACTTAGTTTATTTTAAATTTATAAACAATATATTTAAATTTAGCATCATTTCTCTTTAAATATAAATTTATTTATATAAAATCTCAGTTTAGGAAAAGGTATTGTGGACGACATTTTATTTCTCTTTTTGGTTATACGTTCCACTGCCTTGCTATAGATTCTTTCGCTAGCAACACTCGTAGTTTGTTGAGCTAAGAAATCTTTAGCCATTAAAGATAAATTAGGATATGAATTGTTATTATTCGACCACCATTCTAATACATTTGTTGTTAGACTTGCTACATCTTCTTTTAAATAAAGCGATATTTCGTCCTTCAATGGATAATTTAATTGTAACGCACCCCTAAATAATAAATATATAATATATATATATATGTATGTATTCATATATTTACTTTCTTAGACTGTTATGCATGCTTACAGAAAATGGTAATGCCTCAATATCCAATATATCATTTTCAGAGGCTGATGACTTTGATAATGTGTTGTTATATTTCGTATATAAAGTTTTAAATTGATTAAAAAATTCCGATTTATTTATAAATTTAGGTAAAAATTTCTGCTTTGTTTTAGGGTCCAATATACTTGATATAAAATTGGATGTCATATGTTTAATATATTTTTGACATTTTGTTAACATCACCTCCGCTGTATTTTTCAATACGGTATCACCAGTAATATAATGATTTAAAATATTTTCAATGCAGTTTATGAATAATACAGATGAGCCAATGGTTGTATTTGTAGCTGACGAAGCTTCTAAAGTAATCTTGTAAAAGTGTTTTAAAAAATCCTCTACATCTTTAAAAAAAATTGATTCTTCATTATTTATAAATAATTGGCCATCTTGGTGGCTCCCTTTTTTCCCCAATTTATTGACTGCATCTAAATTCTATAAAAAAAATATTAAACATAAAAAGTAAACATTATTACTTTGTTAATAGAGGATATCATCAAAAATTTAGAATTCCATCTAGTCACGACATCAAGTGGTATGCGTATACCGCCAGTTATGTCTAAAAATTCTTTCATGTATTTTGGTGATGTGTGCAATTTCTTGACAAATTTATTTATTTTTTGTAATTTATCATTCAAAACAATCATTCCCTCATCAACAATAATATTTATTATGTGAGCAAGACACCTATGGTTATACAAAGATAAACCATATAATTCTGTGTAAGTTTGACTCAATATGCGCAATGCTGCTATCATGTTTTTAGAATTATCATGAGTAACCGCCATAACTTTATCATGAATTTTGAAAGATTCGAGAGAAGCTTGGATAGATTCTGATATTCCTGCCCCCGTATGTGGGTGAGGTAATTCAATGAAATCAAGTATGAGATTCACAAATTTCCAATCATTATCAATATAATGTATTGTTATTGATAAATATGAGAAGGAATTTATTCCTGTACATAAGTCAGTTGTCAGGCTCTGTTTAAGGTCTTTAATAATTTTATTTTTAGATTTATGATATAAATCTTTTACATAGCAGGCAGCAGTTTGTCTGCACCAAATCTTCTCATTTTTAAATATAAATGAGAAAATATCTCGGAAAAACGGAGATTCTATTTTATTAAATGAGATGTTATTTTTTATTATATATCTTATAATCAATTTGTTTAATTGCGTGTTTTCGTGAGGAAGTAATTTCCTTATCCCTACTAAAGAATTTATTTTTTTATTATTATTTTCTATTCTTAGATGAGAATGGGATATAGAAATATGTCTTTTTAAATTTGCTAAAAATATATATGATAATTGTATATTAAATTTTAAAAATACGTATTGTGGCTGTATTTAAACTATAATGTGCATTGCAGTATATACACTTCCGACGAGATTTCGTCGGAGTCATTTTGAATATATTCGAAATATTTAACTTACTTGATGTAGATATATCAGAAATCTGTGATAAGTCACTTATACTAGCATCTTGGCTAGTTATAGGCTCTATCTATATATTATTTATATAATAAAAAATATATTTTATCTTTTAAAATTGATTCATTGTTATTATACAAAATGGTAGTGTTATATAATTTATTTCATTGACTCCAAAATAATTTACCACAGCATTTACACTTTATTTTCAATAATTGTTATGCATTAAACAAATCAAAAATTCCAACAATACATTTTTTAAAACTAAATCTTATTTAAAACAATTATGGGTTGAACATCTATAAAGAAATTTCGAGGCTTACATAATATTTTTCTGGATAAAATATTGAGTTAGCCATGTTTAAAAATTGGTTTAAAATGAGCTGTTTAACAACACTACCATTTTGTATAATAACAATGAATCAATTTTAAAAGATAAAATATATTTTTTATCATATAAATAATATATAGATAGAGCCTATAACTAGCCAAGATGATAGTATAGTGACTTATCACAGAATTCTGATATATCTACATCAAGTAAGTTAAATATTTCGAATATATTCAAAATGACTCCGACGAAATCTTGTCGGAAGTGTATATACTGCAATCCACATTATAGTATAAATACAGCCACAAGTACGTATTTTTAATAATATAGAATTATAATATATATTTTTAGCAAATTTAAAAAGACATATTTCTATATCCCATTCTCATCTAAGAATAGAAAATAATAATAAAAAAATAAATTCTTTAGTAGGGATAAGGAAATTACTTCCTCACGAAAACTCGCAATTAAACAAATTGATTATAAGATATATAATAAAAAATAACATCTCATTTAATAAAATAGAATCTCCGTTTTTCCAAGATATTTTCTCATTTATATTTAAAAATGAGAAGATTTGGTGCAGACAAACTGCTGCCTGCTATGTAAAAGATTTATATCATAAATCTAAAAATAAAATTATTAAAGACCTTAAACAGAGCCTGACAACTGACTTATGTACAGGAATAAATTCCTTCTCATATTTATCAATAACAATACATTATATTGATAATGATTGGAAATTTGTGAATCTCATACTTGATTTCATTGAATTACCTCACCCACATACGGGGGCAGAAATATCAGAATCTATCCAAGCTTCTATCGAATCTTTCAAAATTCATGATAAAGTTATGGCGGTTACTCATGATAATGCTAAAAACATGATAGCAGCATCGCGCATATTGAGTCAAACTTACACAGAATTATATGGTTCATCTTTGTATAACCATAGGTGTCTTGCTCACATAATAAATATTATTGTTGGTGAGGGAATGATTGTTTTGAATGATAAATTACAAAAAATAAATAAATTTGTCAAGAAATTGCACACATCACCAAAATACATGAAAGAATTTTTAGACATAACTGGCGGTATACGCATACCACTTGATGTCGTGACTAGATGGAATTCTAAATTTTTGATGATATCCTCTATTAACAAAGTAATAATGTTTACTTTTTATGTTTAATATTTTTTTTATAGAATTTAGATGCAGTCAATAAATTGGGGAAAAAAGGGAGCCACCAAGATGGCCAATTATTTATAAATAATGAAGAATCAATTTTTTTAAAAGATGTAGAGGATTTTTTAAAACACTTTTACAAGATTACTTTAGAAGCTTCGTCAGCTACAAATACAACAATTGGCTCATCTTTATTATTCATAAACTGCATTGAAAATATTTTAAATCATTATATTACTGGTGATACCATATTGAAAAATACAGTGGAGGTGATGTTAACAAAATGTCAAAAATATATTAAACATATGACATCAATTTCCAATTTTATATCAAGTATATTGGACCCTAAAACAAAGCAGAAATTTTTACCTAAATTTATAAAATCGGAATTTTTAAATCAATTTAAAACTTTATATACGAAATATAACAACACATTATCAAAGTCATCAGCCTCTGAAAATGATATATTGGATATTGAGGCATTACCATTTTCTGTAAGCATGCATAACAGTCTAAGAAAGTAAATATATGAATACATACATATATATATATTATATATTTATTATTTAGGGGTGCGTTACAATTAAATGATCCATTGAAGGACGAAATATCGCTTTATTTAAAAGAAGATGTAGCAAGTCCAACAACAAATGTATTAGAATGGTGGTCGAATAATAACAATTCATATCCTAATTTATCTTTAATGGCTAAAGATTTCTTAGCTCAACAAACCACGAGTGTTGCTAGTGAAAGAATCTTTAGCAAGGCAGTAGAATGTATAACCAAAAAGAGAAATAAAATGTTGTCCACAACACTCAAACATTGCATATCTCTAAATTGTTGGGAAGTTGATATTGAATAAAAATTTATTTTTTAAATATGTATATGGCAGTATTATAATGTAACTTATTAATTATATAATAATGGTTTACATAAAAAAGCGTAAATATTCTTTATATTGTTTCAATATATAAAATTTAAATATTCGTTTATTAATAAAATACCCATAAATTCATGTGTTAATTTTTGTTATTGAACTCGTCATTACCAGATAAGTCCAATTTTTTAAAATATTCTTAAATCAAAAATAATTTTAATTGAGAATTATCAGCATATGAATTAATTTACTAAAATATTTTTAATATTCATTTTTATTAAAAAAACACTGAAAAAATATTTAAAGGAGATTTATCAGCCACTTAATTATATTTTTCGTAACTTTAGTAAAGGTGATGGACAATAACCTTGAAGCAATATTTATTCATTGATTGCCCGAAATAGATGAAATGTTATAATATAAGGCATTTTCAATCATGAATGAAATTGTAAATAATTTCGACTAATTAGTCGTTTTTAGTCGACTAATTAGTCATTTTTAGTCGACTAATTAGTCGTTTTAATCAATTAGTCGCTAATAAGATTATTAGTCTTAGTCGGAAGAAATCGACTAATTAACAACACTACTTAATCAAAAGTTTAAATTATTTTTTTTAATACTCGATTAGTAAACTATGGGCATCCTTTTCATCGGAACCGTCGGAATAAATCCTAATTTTATCGTAAGGGTTATTGCTTTCGTTGGCTATCAATAAATTTCGCACTAAAATCAGAATGTACTCTATTTGTAAATTATCTTCATCGAATGTGTCTTCCCAATCCTTAAAACAAATTTTTTTTTGTTAATTTGTAAAAAAAATAAATTGTTAACTAATATAGGTATTGGCTAAATGTTGACTAATATGGCTAAAACGTTAACATTAAGGTGCTTTTATTTATATTAGACTCTTTCCAAATGTGGGCCGATATATTTTAAAGAGAAAAAAACCCCCGAGACCAAAGTGACAGTTTTCGGCTACCCCAACTATAGTTACTAATTATATTTTTTTTATATTTATAAAAAAGAATAATTTGAATAGAAAAATTATAATTTTGTATTTTATATCGTTTTTTTTATAGTAAATGTGTATAGTTTTTAACAGTTTAAATGTAAATATTCGAAATAGAAATTATCAAGCAATTTTTATCTTTTTATAAAAAATTTATACATACTTGATGGCATCTATGAACGGCTGCACCAGTCATATCATTAGGAAATGTGGTGTTTTTCGAGTTTTTGCTGACCCAAGGATTTTTCGCTCTAATAAGGTATAAAAGGATATCCCCACCAACAAAGATCATTGGGCCAGCACAAACTCATGGTTGCAAAATCTCTCCCATTGTCAGGGACCAGTGTTGTTAAACGGCTAACCCAATATTTATGCCCAAAATTTTAGGCAAGCCTGGAGATTTCAATCATAGATAGCAGAAATGTTTGAACATCTATTAACGAAATATCTTGGCTCGCGTAATATTATGTAGGCTACTGCTAAATCGAGCAGCTTAACAACACTACTCCGATTATTTTAAGAAAAATGGAATCTACCATAACGAAAAAATTCATTAATTTTAAATTTTTTCCCTGATTATCAAAAATATCACCCAGTACCTACATTTTTTTAATGCAATCCCCCCCCCCTTGAAAAAAAACCGTTAAAATTGTTCCCCTTGGTTTAAAATCTTGCCTAGTATTACCTTATCATTTCTTAGATTTCGAATTTATTAGCTTCATTCATTTACAATTATATTAACTATCATTTTGCTAAAAATGAAACCCTGATTTAACATTAATTGTATCCCATAGGTATGTAAAATAATTTTTATTTGTTTATACATCTATGAATATCAACAACATCCACCAATTGGAGAGAATATTTATCAGGGATCCAACCCAAACCTTTAACCCGATATTAACTGTCATTTTTTATCGAACCTAAACCGTTGAATCGCTTTCCTATCCGAACCTGAACCGAACCGCTAAAAATTATTGCAACCATTTTAATTTTATGCTTATAAAATGTAGTGAAATTTATTACTAGTATATTGCAAAAATTCTAATTTTTATCTGGATTGCTTTAAGCATTATTATCATTCAATTTTAATTTGTAAAATATCAGTCAAAAAATTTTAAAATTTTTGTATATTGCTATTTTGCAACATTTGTTAAATAATTTTCCTTTTAATATTTAGATTTTTTTTTAATTTATCAATGCCAATTAGAGGTCTGCATCGGGCGTGTTTTTGGACCATAAGCCCGACCACCCAATGTTTAAAAAAATTAAACCACCCGCGAGCCCGCCCATAGTATACAAAAAATATACCCGCCCGCCCATTAGTCTAAAATTCCTTACACGCCCGCCCATTAGTCTAAATTTTCGTACCCGCCCGCCCATTAGTCTAAAAATTTTCATCCGCCCACGCATTATAATTTAAAATTTTTTAACGCAAGCCCGCTATAACATTTAATTATGGCCATTCTTTCAATTTTTTAAGCATCTAATAAAAAAAATTTCACATTAGACATACAAAAAGTTATAATTTAGGAAATTACTATACTAAGCTTAAAAACTATTCTAAATTATGGATAATTTATTTCAAATAAAATATTTATAAAAAAAAATATAAATATAAAATTGATATTATATGTAATTCTAATGCAAAACATAATAATGAATCGACTTCTGGATTCAAACACGTTCTTTCTTTGTTCTAAAAACCTTCCAGAAATACTTGTTCAGAAGAAGCACTAGTTACAGGAATTGCCAATATTTTTCTTGCTAATCTTGATAGCTTTGGCAAATCCCTTGTCGTTTCCACCAAAGTAGTTTTAAATGTACAAAAAAGTTTATTTATTTTAAGAAAAAAGTTTTTGATACCAAAAAAGGACATTTTAATTTTTAATATCCAAAATAGTTCATAAGAACAACTTTTTATTAATATTTACTTAAATGATTTTAATTTTTTT